GCCCTGTTAGAACCCCGGCGGCGGGGGAGCCAGTCAGGCAGCGCACACGCTCTCTGCCTGAAGGAGAAAGTCATGGAAAGCATTTCAATATCACCAAATATTACCAATCCTGGCGGCAGGTTCCACCCTCGGTACCACACATGGGTTCACAGCACAGGAAACGCATGTCAGGCTGCGGGCGTCGCAAGGTTACAGTTCTTTGCACCTGCAGATGCCGCAGGTGTTTCAGTTATCGTGTGTACACACAGGCATCATGTCGTACAACGCTCTCACCATTAAAAAACCAGAAAACACAGCATACACCTTGGACAGACGGTACCATGTTTTCTCGCACAGGATTACCCCTGAATTTATCACTCTGCACTAAAGTCCATAAAAGCTTCCCGTGATTGTGGTTCCCCCCGTTAAAGCGCTCAAACAACCCCAGGCACAGAGTGAGGATACCCGCTGCCCGGCCCTGGAGACCCAACAGCAGGATCCCTTCGTTATCTCCAGACCTAATCACCACCTATACACACACAGAACTATACATTTGCAAATGCAAAACTCTGAAACCCTTCAGAGATGAAACGAATGCCAATCTAAGTGACACCCAAGCAGGTACAAACTTGTGTATTTCGTACTGCCTTCCACCTTGGAACAAAACTTGAACAGGTCTGCTTTGTACTGCTGTAAATTCCCCATAAAAGGCAACTTTTGAATATTGCTTTGTGTAATTTCCGCAGTCGGATGCACAGTTTCAGAAGCTGCAACGCCTACATGGGGCAGATTAATTTCAGTTAGCTGGTACTGTATCAAGAGCTAGAGCACGCTGCCAAGGGTGCCCAGTGGAATATGATATGAGAATTTTCATTAGCTTGTGATATTTTTACCTCTTTCGTGTAATTACGTCTATTTTTCTTATTAAAAGATTCACTCTATTTTTTACGTGGGGTCACTCTATAAAGGTGGAACAGGAAAGGTGCAATTATGAGTAATTACTCACAGTGCTCAGTTCAACAGTCATTGCTTAAATGATGTAATGTAATACAATTAATGTGCTAATAAAACTTGCAGCCAAAAAATTTTGCATAAATCTTTATCCATATCGCATTGGGATCTATTCTTCTGTTCATAAGGAACTGCAGGTGTTACCCGAAGACATGACTCTCAGCTACTGAAGTGGACCTCACAGCAGGTTCAGAATAAGGTGAATCTTTTTTAAAATTATTTTTAAACACCATAATGGAACATGGTTCTCAAAAAACTACAAATGCATGAAAACCAGCATAGAGAGCAGCTTAGAGAGATTATTGAATTGAGTCCTTGGTGAAAAAGTCACGTTGCTTGTGATAGTTTTAAAGCATTCACACTCCATCAATTACAGCTCACACCCCACAACTCAGGGTATCAGCGTACCAGTGATAATTCACGGTAACCACATCTCTTCCCTAATATAACCTCCTCTTGTTCTTGCATGTTTGTGTTTGCTGCCTTATTTAGAAGGTATTTATCTACACATCATAAACGCTTCAAGTAGCCAGGAAAACGCTTTGTGTTCAATGAGTCAGCTGCCGTACATGATTTTAACGAAATCACGGTATTCTCATCCAGATCCCATCAGCTTTCTGACCGACAGGAGACAGCGATTATTAACCCAAATCTTCAAACACAAACTCCCATTCGCATCTGAACTATCCCCACACCTGCAGAACTGTATTCCTAAATTCATGAGTGAAATGTGAGAGCCACAGCCCGATTTATGCACCAATAAACCCAGAGGCAGAGGCAATGCACCACCCACACGATTAACCCACGCTGCCACATACAGGACACGTTGTCATTTCACTTTATGATACGCAGATACCGTTATTTTCCGAAGAAACAAAAGCAAATGAAGGCAAACGTTGCCATTGCT